AGAGAGAGAGAGAGAGAGAGAGAGAGAGAGAGAGAGAGAAAGAGAGAGAGAGAGAGAGAGATGGAGAAGGGAGGGAGTAAGACAAAATCACATAAAAGAATCAATTAAAATCCTTCCTGATAAAATTCCTCAACTGTATTTACGCCGGTCGACAGAAGAACAATATTTATTAGATCTTTGCTCAGGTCCTAGAAGACAAAAAATAGTTGACATGTTAAGACTCTAAGATGACACTTTTTAATGCTCTTCAAGCACAATCGGTGCCCCCGGGATCGCTCAACTAAAACACTGGCGAGGGTTACTAACTATCAAATCTAAATTGCTTGCAGGTTATGAAGACTTGGGTTTGAGGTCATTTGAAATCATGAGTAGATTCTTGCTAAAGATGTTTCACATAACCACTTCCTCCTCCTCCTGCTGCTCTCTCTCTCTTCTTCTCTCTCTCTCTCTCTCTCTCTCTCTCTCTCTCTCTCTCTCTCTCTCTCTCTCTCTTTCTCTTCCTCTCTCTTTGACATAGACATACTCAGATGGAGACAGTGTAATCGAAATGAGACAAAAACAGATAAAAATGGGCCCACACGCGAAAAGATTTCCTATAAAAGGAATATAATAAAATGTATCACGACACGGTGGAGTTGGACGCTTGTCAATTGTAAGGTATGTGGAGGTATTGGAATCATCTTAAAGCAACTTTCATTAAATTTTTTCTTCTTTCATTGAATATTATATACTTCTCTAGCTTGAACTGAATACAAGATATTTGCGATTGAAGGAGGCAGGGTTGCCTGTTTTCAGAGGTAAAATTAGCCAGTAAAGGGCCGGCAAAGATTGATGGCTTCCAAAGCTTGAGAGACTAGGGGAACTGAAAATTTACATTTTGGTGCCCTTAATCAACGTTTTTCGGTAAAATTCATACATGTGAATTTTTAAGTGGACTTACAAGATTTTGTGTAAGAAAACAAACATTTTGACAAGCGACTAATTTCCCCACGATGCCTCACATATTCTAAATAACTTTTCTGTAGTATCACTGAGTTGTGAGGGAAAATAAATCACATTTATGTTCATGTGCCAAAATAATCGATCTAATATCTATTCCTACTTTGGGTAAAACAATATTATACCTCATAAATCTAAGGAAATCAAAATAGTCTCGGGATTCTTTAATAGCAAATCTAAACTAAAATGTGAATATAAAACAAAAAGAACGCAGAAAAGAGCAGACGTGGCTATATACAATTGTCCATTTGATTTCAAATTTGTCTGTCTTGATCTAGTTTTCCGTGGCCAGGAGTTGAAGCTACAATCATGCAATGATTCGATTATAGCGAAATAAAAAGTCGAAGGAAAATGGATCACTCACATAGGCCATGAGCTTATTTATTTTGCGGTAGGGTTGCAGCACCCTACCTCCAAAATCTTCTAAATATGGTCACTTGGGGCGTAAAACATTAAAACCATTGACCTGAAAATTAACCAGTAATGTTTCAGCCATCGCCCGAAAAACAGTCTCATCATCTTATAGTGTTATAGGCGGTACCCACTGGAGGATCGGTTCGATTTGGTTCTTTTACGTTTCAGGCGGTTTCAGTGCACAACATAAATAGACCCCGCCTCAAACCGATCGCCCGACTCGTGACCTTGAAAACAAACATGTTTGTTCTGAAAGGCCATTGACGGTTTCGTTCGGTTTGTGCCATGATGGCAGCTTTTCTCCCTCCATGGAGGAAAATAGTTTTCAGTAAGCCTATTAGGCACTTGCAACACAATTTGGTCATATTAGTGCCGAATATCAACGGTGTTACAAGAGAGTAACAAACATAACAAAAGGAGAGATAAAGACGGTATTTGTTTGACAGGAAAGGAGCAAACCACACCAGAGCACCCACTAACTACCCATGAGGAAAATCTGGCTAGCCCCGACGACCATACCAAACCGAACCGAACAGATCTTGCCAATTGGCACCGGGTATTACATAAATGGCACACGATAAGCATTTCCGCTTTTATTACAGTCTTTCCTGAAACCATCACTGTGGGTTGCCAGAGGGTAGAGTGCCCACCATGCGGCCTGCGACTCTGCAGGCCACCCCCCGACTAAACACACAGGCGCCCCGCTACTCCCGTGACACGTAGAAGCTGTGTAGGTATATCTGATCCGTTCGAGCGTCTCGTTATCGCCCTGCTCCTCCTTGTCCGTCCATGCCCCTATGGACACTTTCTTGCTGCAGCCGTGAGGGTGAGAGGTCACAAAAGCCAAAGAAGATTCCGTCCTAGCGTGCTTTTGGGTAATCCTGTTGACGTAACCGGGGTACATGAGGAGAGCGTCGTTCAATTTCTTAAGAAGGTCAAGGTCGTGAGTTGGGCAATATAGAACGCACATGTCTTTGTACTTACTTTTATAGCCGACTGAATGTCCACTTAGAGTGACTACTTGGTCTGCCCGGGTTGTGTCCTCATCGTAGAAGAGAGCTACTCCAGAATGCTTCACTTCTGATTGGTCGAATAGAACGTGTGTTGACGTCACAATTGTTACTTTCCCCCATATCTGTGCCGGATTGGTGGAATTTCTGCACACGTGACATGGACAAGGTCCATCGTAGTTGAGTAAGCTTACATCGCTGTTTGAACCTTTTGCATCAGTCTTGCCCCTCTCTCGGCTCCCTCTTCTCGCCCATCGTTCAGATGGAATATACACCGAGTCCACCCGTCCAGTGCCCACCCGCGAAACTTTCTTTCCTGCAGAGTTCGCAAATGGATACGGTTTGGAGCTCCCTGGGAAGAGTTTTGGTCGTTCTGTGCTGATGTAATAAACCCTCAACCTCACTGTGAGAAAAGCTTGGGGCTCAATGGTTCGGAATATGTCTTCGTCGTCTTGGAAGGGTCCCGGGAGATGTGCTTTGCTGAACTTAGAGATCTGGATGAATCCGTCATGTTTCGGGTCTTTCTGGCATCGCCAATATCCTTTGTACAAGTCTACTTCTGGTGTATCAGAACCGCAAACCTCCATCTCGAAAGTTCCTGGAGGGGTCAAAGTTAACATTTTTGTGTTACTTGATAGAACCGGCGATAGTGGCGTATAAGGTGTACAATTAATCTTTAAAGACTCGGATGGAATGAAGGAAAGGAAGAAAAAAAAAAGGCACAAACGTGAAAGATAGGAAACAGGAAGAAGATGGAAATGAGTAGAGAAAGGACAGGAGACAGAGAAACAAAGAGAAAAAGTGAGAGAAGGG